TGTTCTGAAATACAAATGAATCAAACATTTTATTTATTGTAAGACATTGTATCTTTATTGTAAGATACCTTTGACGCGGGCGGTATTTATGCCCTACCAGGGAGATATAGAGAAATTATAATATTTTACATAATTACACTTATTTAACGTTGCAAGATATAAAGTATTTCAGCCAATTACTCTGTATAATGTCTCTCATATCCATTTTTGGAGTAAAAGAATAGTAAAGAATCTAAATTCGAACAATAATGATGACGTTCTTCTGACCATGTTATAATTACATTAATCTAATAATTGCTGGTTGGAATCCCACAGTGAATAAGTGTTATACATACATACATTTTGAGCAGTATTTTTGTATATAGAATAATATTCGAGTCTAATAGGGTATTTTACACCATGTAAAATAAAATCAAAATATATATGTTTATGATAGATTTTTAAAATGTAAACAAGAAATATTGATTTCTGTTTATAAAATTGCATTATAAATTTTAAGTTTCCATATTAAGATTTTTTCGTCTGTTCCTCAAATCTGCAAAACGCTGTCGGCCATATTAGCACATGTCGTGACGTCAATGATCCAGCCTAAGGATAAGGATCCAGCATAAGGATATTCTGTGTTACTGATTAAGAGAAATAGCTAACGTGCTATGTTATTTCGAAATTTTTAAGTTATATTTACGGTTATTGAGTTTTATTCCGAATTTTATTGAAAAGGCATCATGGAAGACGAATTCGTCTTCCGTGATGCCTTTTCAATCCTTTCAATTCCGAAAGACAGAAAGTATTAATGTACCAAGGATAAATAAATTGATGGTGGCAAAATTTTTTTGCATGCAATACAAAGTTTTGTTCTGCCGAGTTGAGTAATATTAAAACATCAGTGGTAAGTATTTTATATATTATACTACTATTACCAACTTTTGTTTACACAAAAACACAATACCAGGTCAGAGTGTACTTTGATAAACCATAGTTTAGTGGCTATCATAGTTTATCTATATCATAGTATATCTATAATTACAATTATTAACTTAATCATTAATTATATACTTGCGATAACTTTCACCTCATGATGTTTTGTCTTGAAACTAATGATCAGCAGTTGCACTACTACAACCACTAGACCAACGAGGCAGGCAGGCAGAACTAGTGTTATACACACAGTACAGTCGAAATTGGCGTGCTAGTGCGGCATAAGAAAATTTATCATCACATTTTATCCCGTGGGTTTCGTAAGAGGCGACTTTGGGTTTTGTTTTCCGACAGACGGCGGTATAACCACCTCGTTTACTTCAGATGTAAAATATTCATACCGGCGACAGGCAACATTGCCAGAGATGCTCACGTCTGGTTCTGCGATCGTCAATCCTATGCCAAGCGTGACGACTGAGGCAAATGCTGCCTACATCGGGAGAGATCCTTCCATGTTCAGCAATGGAAGTTTACGGGGCGATTAAGATAGAGGAATTATTTGTAGGCCATACAAAGACTCAAAACAAGCCCCGGGAGCTCAGGAGCTAGGAGTTTGCAGTAAAATTTTACAGTACGCTAGCAACCCAGGTTCGTTCTCCACCAGCACCCATAAAATTGTTGATTTTCTATGTCTAAACGGAGTCGGGTGATAGGTTAAGTCATAATAATTAACAGAAAAAATTCAAAAAAAATCTTTGCTATGTATTTAAAAATTACATTTAACCTTTTGAGCGCCACGCCAAAAACTCACTACCGTGTCCTGTACGCCAAAGCGAAAAGTAAACAAAAATACCTACGAAAAAAACAGTGCTGCCAAGAGTTGATATATCGATAACACAAAATAACTTGTTTTTGTTGGTTTTTTATACAATAAATGACTCTTTATAATCGGGTATGTTTTATTTAATTTTGTGCTGTCTTCCACTCTTTTTATATATGTACTTTGTACATAAATAAAAAAAGAAACAATAACAATAAAATAGTAGTAAACCACAACACTACTCTCCATCGTGATGACGTCACTGTCACGACTGGACGACAACGGCGTAGCTGACCTTTCTTTTTGAAACTTTCTTAGAGATGTAGCCGTGTCGCACGTTGTGTATCGATTTCAAAATCGATCTAACCAAAATATACAGACATCGATTCTAAATATTTTATGGCGAGGCGTAGGCCAAGTGAATCACAGAAGAAAAGTCTTACGCTCTTATGACAATGGGGGTTTCATATGATGCTGATGTTGCTAAATGATTTTGGATTGAGAAAGAAAATCGCACAACACAAAATGAAAAATTGCTCTTCATACCTTAAGTAAAGAAAACACATTTATTATTTGTAATTATATATTATTAAAATAAAAAGGTACATAATTATTCACTAATCAACAATTGTATATAGGTAATTATTCGCACTAGAAAAATCAGTCTTATAATATTAAAATATTGGTCATGGAATAAAAAATCAGTAATTATTATAAAAATCAACAAATAATACATAATTATCGACCAATCAACAAATGTTTATAATTATTATCACTAGATAAATCAGTCTTATAATATTAAAATCTTGGTTAAGGAATAAAAAATCAGTACTTATTACAGAAATCAACAAATGGTACATAATTATTCACTAATCAACAATTGTAAATAATTATTTACCCTAGGTCTAGTCTTAAAATATTAAAATCTTGGTCTTTAATCAGTACTTAATATAGAAAACAACAATTAAAAATAATTAATAAATTATAGGTAATATTAGACTTAAAATAATAAAAATCTTATGGAATAATAAAACAAATGTTTAGCTGTCCAAAGCAAATTTTCTAACGTGGTAGAGCCATGCTGCAGTTATATTACGAGAGAGTAGTTGTAGCACGAATGGGTCGGCTCAACCGGGGAAGAACCACGCTCTCACGGAATACCGGCGTCAAATAGTAGCTTAATGCTGCTGTATTTCGTATGGCAAGTGTAGAGAACCGGAGACCCTCTTTACTGGAAACTAGGCATTCCATCTAAGTCCTCACGGGTGAGACCGCACCTGCATTTTGATTCGTAATCGAGGATAGATGTAAATGTCTATGGGCCACAGCAACTACTTACCATCAGGTGGACTGTGTGCTCGTTTATTACCCTATGCTATAAAAAAAGAAATTAACCGTAAAAAAATATAAAGTGTATTCCTACCTCATTGAGGTAGAGTTAATCGAAAATGAAAAACTTTGGTTTCATGATAATTTTAATGTGCCTATTATGAAACGCCGCTACATTATGTATCAAATTATTAAAATAATAGAAAACAACTCATAAAATCGCTAAGCAGGTACGGATTGTATAATACATATTTTTCCTTTATTGAAACTGTCACTAAAAACATATAAGTACTAAATTATGTGCATATATTTATTTCTACTTGGATATTTTCAATTTTTTATTTATTTAGGTAGGTAACTTTTGTACGGCTATACTGTAAGACGCGAAAGTGTTAGTAACAAAAAAAAGAACGTCGCCGCCGAAAACAAAAGAGCAATTTAGTACTAAGTCGACACGCTATTTTAGATCTTAATGTTTTACCATTACATTGATTTTTAGTCTACTCACAATACTACTCGAAACGATTGTAATGCCGAAAGGTAGAAAGTCGATATACTATTTTGGACCTTAATGCTTTTTCATTACGTTGATTTATGATTTATGGTCTACTCACGGTACTTACTTTTCGGAAGGATTATGGTGAAATATGGCTTAAGATATTTATTTCGCTAAACAATATTACCATTCGCTTTTTGACAGAAAAAATATCTACTAGTTGCAGTATAAAAGTAAACGAACATGATGAGTTATTCTAAACTCGAAAACAAAAACATAAAAAATGTGCTCACAAGAGTCGCCCGGGAAACAGTTCCATTATGTATCGAACTTATTATATTTAAAATTAAACAAAATATTATAAAATAATAGATACATAAAATAGGCAATATGCATGTAGTAAAATAAGTTTAATTTATTAGGAACTTAAGACACTTACCTCACTTAAATCTTCAGGTAATGATTCAGATTCCGAAAATTCATCATCGTCGACGCTTTCCAAAATCCGAATGAGTTCTGAGGCTGAGGAATCGTTCATATTGCACTGCACTAATTTTCCCGCTAATCGCTTATGACGTCATCAGCGTGTCGTCTATACTAGACTACGGCGCCCAGTGAACTGATTTTCGATGTCTCGCTAAGGATGCGCCAGAGTTGAGATATTAGATTTATTATGCGAAGATAATTTGATAATTTTTTTTTAATTCATGTAGCTAATTATAGTTTTATATTTCTAACCTTTTGTTTTATTTAAATATCAATAATAATAGAAAAAAAAAATAACACGTTTGAGCTTAATTTTGAATAGTTTTCAATAAATTTATGCCTAACGCATTACAACACTAGCGGTCTAACATAGACGACTTTGGCGTGCTGGACATAGTATTTGCTTAGATAAAAATCCATTTTTTTTAGTTCAATGTTTCTTAGTACTTGTGGCTCTAGGAGACTTGTTTTTTATACTCACATGTTGCTGGGTTATTCGTTTTTGAGGGGTGTAGAATTAAAATACCAGTAATAATTTTCCAATGTCTATATTTCATATTTTTGTGGGCCGGGTTTTTTGTCAACTATAGACGTCGTTGGCGCTCAGGGCACGCAGGTGCTGGTCACGTATAGACGACTTTGGCGCTCAAAAGGTTAACACTCTCACCGCCATACGGTCCGCCGGCGGGACGTATGTTTTCAAATAAGTCACGCCATTTATATATTGCACTTAGCGACATGAGCACGCTATACGGGCCGCCGGCGTACCGCATCTTTCGCGCCAAAATCCTAACTAAATGTTCGTTATTACAAACAATATTTACCGAGTACCCGCCGGCCGCCCGCACGGCTTGTAACGGTCGCATTTTCGCGCGCTTTTTGTGGAATCTCTCTGCATTCTTGTGCATTTTGGTACTTATACTGTTTTTATTATTATGTTGGGCTCAGAAGATGATCCAGACTACCAGCCGTCTACAGACGAAGAGTCGGAGAGGGAGGAGTAGATGTTCTGATCATAGTTTATCTAAAGAAAGCACAGAATTACCTGCAAACGAACGCCAACAACAAGACAACAATGTATGTGATGTATGTCGAATTCGAGCTGGAATATACCCTCATCAGATGGCTCAAGAAAAAAGCAGTTTCCGTTTACAGCTGTCCCAGGTATGAAGAATATTCATTCAGATTGTCAAAGTGAATTAGACTTTTTCCGTTTATTTTTGGATGACGAAATTATTGATTTGATGGTACATATGACCAACTCGTACGCATCAAAAACACAAATTGGTACGATTGTGATGCTGCCGAAATGAAGAAATTTCTTGGCTTATTGATTTGGATGGGGCTCAAAAAACTGCCAAAAATAAGTGATTATTGGAGTACGGATTTATTATATGCAAACAATGTTGCGAAAAAAGTGATGAGTAGAAACCGTTCTGAAATATTACTTCGATGTTGGCATTTTGAAGATGTTTATTTTGTTGGCATGTCAGGAGCAGATCGACTGATAAAAATAAGACGTTTCGTAGAGATTCTTTCAAACAAATTCGATCAATACAAAACACCTGGAGAATTTCTTACTATTGATGAAACAATGGTAGCTTTTCGTGGCCGGATTGCTTTTATGCAGTACATACCTGGAAAGCGCCATAAATATGGAATAAAGTTATTTAAAATATGCGACGACGATGGATATACCTACGATTTAATTATATATGAAAGAAAAAAGACGACGACAACGACAAAAAAGATATCCTGTGAAATAGTCATGAAACTCAGTCAGAAAAGTATTTGAATGCCGGAAGAAGTATCGTAACGGATAATTACTACACAAGTGTAACTTTGGCAAATAATTTACTACAGCAAAACTCTCATTTATTGGGGACTCTCAGAAAGAACAGAAAAGGGCTGCCAAAAGAAATATCAAAAGAGAAACTGAAGAAAGGCGAGACGTGTGTAATGGAAAATAATGACGGAGTGTTGGTTTTACGATGGAAAGACAAGCGTGATGCGTTGGCTCTATCAACTCGGCATACACCTGGTTTTGTCAACGTGCGCAGCAGGAGAAACCGTAACAAAGTGACTATGAAACCAACCCTGATAGCGACCTATAATAGTCATAAATGTTCTACTGACTACTCAGATCAAATGGGTAGTTATTCTAATCCAGCAAGGAGAAGCTTGCGATGGTTCCAAAAATTAGCTATAGAACTTTTATTTATAACATCTTTGATCAATGCTTTTATTTTGTTCAAAACTTCCAAGAACTTGACGTCCAAAAAATATACCATAACAACATTTAAGGAAAATATTTGCCGTGCATTGATGGGTCTTGACAAACCAAGAAGACAAAATAACCAGAGTTGCTCAAATGGACACCAATTTGGAAAATCTCCGTTGGTCGACCATCGTAACCGAATAGTCAGAAGATGCATCCACTGCTATGAAAAGAAGAGAGAAGAAGGTTTGACAAGCATAGAAGCATGTAAAATAACTAAGAAAGTCAATATAGTGTACTTACTCTGCCCATCAAAACCCAGTGTATGCTCATAATGCTTTGCTAACTTCCATTTCACTAATATAAGGCAGTAGTTATATCAATTTATGAATAAATCTAAGTTCCTTTTAATTTTAATTTGCTTTTTTATTTCTGTGATTAATCCTAGCTAACCCTAACCCTAGTAATCCTCTAATGAAAAGATACAGACATATTTTTTTTTATTGTAGGTAACAAAGTAAACTTTGAGTCTAGTAGCTTCTTTTTTCTGTAATGCCCCATTTACATTCAGCCCTGTTGGGCAGGGAAGTGAGCAGGGCAGTGGGCAGGGCAGTATGTAAACAGGCTACTCGCGCTGACACTGCCCGAAGATCCCTCAAATGTCGGTTTTTCGTGCGGAAGTCAAAGGACGGGCAGCGCGAGCGTCAGTGAGTGTTCACATTCAGCTCCATCGCTCACTTCGCGCCAAGCGCCTGGATAAACGGACGTGCGTGCCGTCTTGTTATTAAATAAGTACGATCTACCAAAATGCCTTTCGAGTGGAATAATGAAAATACAATAAAGTTTTTAGAACTGCTGGAATCAGAAAAAACTATATGCGATTTCAACGATAAAAACCACAATTCATCATCTTCTACGAACACGAATTTTCTTTTTGAGATAACATAGTACCTATGTACATAATTAATTATAAATTCGTCAAATTTATTATATTAATACAAAATTTAGTTTAACCCTTAATTGCGCAGTGTTGTATTAAAACCACATTAGTTTTTGACATTCAGGAACAGCATACCTTACATGTATTTTTTTTTAATTTCAATGTGAAGTAATTTTATAATTAGTATAAATTTAAAAAATTATACTGGCAACCTCGATATTTGAAAAAAAGTTAACTTTTTTTTTCTGGATCTGTCACTTCACGCGGCAAAAAAGTTGAAGCCCGTCAAGTAGATTTGTGTCATCGTAAAACAATTTTATTTGTGCAAGTAAGTGTTGAAATTTTTATTTATTCTATTGATTATAACCTCGATTTTGTTATTATTTAGTGATTTTTTTTAGTTTTATTATTTTAAAAGTAATTATTGAGCATTTTATTTATGTTGTTTACAAACAACATTGCGCACTTTTTATTAAATGTAATGTATGGTTGTTAATAGATTTTTTATGTTTTTATTTTAGTATGCCCCGCTTGAATGACGAGGATATAAGATGGTCTCGACGGCTCTGAATCGGAAAGTGACGAGGAAGACACCTATTACCAAGCGGCTCGGGAAGTTTTTCGCGACCTGGAGGGTTCAGATTGCGAAGAGCGTCACATAGGTGAGAACATTCAAAGTCCATCTTCTAACCAGCTCGATGATGATATGGATCATCGCTTTATAACAGATCAACATTTACAAGAACCGACTTCATCTTCACATCGCCCTACAAGACCTATAGTTTGGCGACAACGAAATCTCATTACTAGAGAAGAGGATCTAAAATTTCAGGGCAATACTCAATTGCCAGAAGAACTTACACAAAGGGAGACTCCTTTAGATTTTTTTACCAATTTTTTCACGCCAGATTTGATAAAACATACAGTTGAGCAAAGTAACTTGTATGCCACGCAGAAGCAAGTTTCTAACCCAGTCAACATAGACGAGAATGAATTGAATAAGTTTCTTGGAATTTTGATTGTTTCTTCTGTAATTCGTTTTCCTAATATTAGACTTTACTGGCATGACAAGTATGGATATGAGCTTATAAAAACGACGATGTCTCAGAAGCGATTTGAGAAAATAAGGTCCATTATACATTTCAACGATAAAGAGAAATGTTTGCCAAAAGGACATCCTGACCATGACCGAATCTATCTTATCAGACCGCTTGTTGATGCACTAAATAATAGGTTTGCTACTGTACCAATCGAGCAACGTTTGTCGATTGATGAACAGATGTGCGCCACGAAAATGAGCTACCATATAAAGCAATATTTGCCCAATAAGCCGCACAAATGGGGCTTCAAACTTTACCTGCTTTGCAGCCTTTATGGCTACGCTCATAAATTTGAAATTTACACAGGGAGTGGCAGTCAAACTACAGTGGCAGCTAATGAGCCTAATTTAGGAGAGTCAGGGAATACTGTGGTACGTCTAGCTCGCATGATACCTCGCAAAGCAAACCATATAGTCTACTTTGATAATTTTTATACCTCTCTACCGCTTGTGACTTTCTTAGCTAAGGAAGGTATTTATTCATTGAGGACAGTGCGTGTCAACCGTCTACGCAATTGTAAGCTACCAGACAAAAAAGGCTATCATGAAAAAAGCATCCCAAGAGGATATTACGAAGAAAATGTGGCGAATGTGGATGGGGTTGATGTCAGCGCTATAGTATGGAAAGACAATAAACCTGTGAATATCCTTTCCACCTACGTTGGTGCTGAACCAGCTACAACTGTGACACGTTATGATAAAGTGAAAAAAGAACGAGTTCCGATCTCTTGCCCAAAAGTGATCAAAGAATACAACGCACACATGGGAGGGGTTGATCTCCTAGATTCTTACATTGGACGTTATAATATAAAAATGAGAAGTCGTAAGTGGACTATGCGCCTCTTTTATCATTTGTTAGACGTGACAGTAATAAACTCTTGGCTTATTTATAAAAAGTCCATACAAAGGACACAAAAGTGTTAAATTTGTCCAGATACAGGATGGAATTGGGTGAAACTTTATGTCGCATGGGGTTGCAGACTAACGGTACCAAACGGGGACGGCCAAGCAATTCATTGCAAAATGAAATTGAAGAAAAAAGGCGTAAAGGAGCTACGCAACCAATACCTGCAAAGGATGTGAGATTAGACCAAGTTTCCCATTGGTCCGTATGGGTAGACAAGCAGCAACGGTGCAAATTTCCAAAATGTGGTGGATACACCTTCAAATTTTGTCAAAAATGTGGTGTTTCTTTGTGTGACACAAAAAAGAATAATTATTTCTATAAATACCATAATAATTAATTTTTATATTCAAATAAATTAGTTAAAATAAAACATATATTTCACTATACACTATACATACTTCAAAACACTTGGATAATGCGCAATGTTGTTTTAAAACAACGATATGTTTTTTGTAAAAATATCATAATATATAATAATGTGATTTTTTCAAATATTTTTCTGGTAATTTTTAAGCTATTTCAAATCCGAAAATATTTTATTCTTTTTGAAATAAAAATTCGCGCAACGAAGGGTTAAGGAATTAATGAACATTAACATTAATTTTATTTCTAAAAACGATTAGTAACTCAATTGATTATTTATTTATTAAAATGTAAAAAAAAATGGTAATATTTGCATAATAACCTGAGATTATTAAATTATAGTGTAATTATAAAAATAATAATAGCTTAACTAATCTCATATAATATTTAATATTATTTATGTAACAATAATGTAATAATTCAATTAATAATTTATGAACAATTTACTGTATATGAATTCAAATAGAGTGGATCTGTATATGTATTTAATTTTACATAATATTTGAATTCAAAAAGAATGTTTGTAAGTAACTTTTAAGCAATGCAATAATTTTAAAATGTAACATTGGGTTTGTGTAATTAGCTGTATTTCATATCATTTTTGCATGCTAATTATAGCAAAACATGTCAGTTCCACGTCATTGATGATCTTATGTACCATGTTTTTAAGCAAATAAATTCTATCTATCAAATAAAATCATCATCTATCTATCTTCTTTTGAACTTGATATCTTTTTAAATTATTAACATAATTTTGTATTGCAAGAAGACACAGCGCGGACGCTGTAATTATTTCGATTTCGACGTCTGCCATAGTCGAAAGCCGAAAGCGATGTGAGTGGTAGGGCAGAGTGTGAATACACACTTCCCGCGATCCTGCTACGGCAGTATTTAGCTAAGGATTGCCGGCAGCGCGAGGAGCAGTGGCAGGGGCTGAATGTAAATGAGGCTTAACAGCAGGCCATGCACTACAAAATTAATAAGAAATTGCGAGGTCATAGCGTACCGCACGGCTTGCTGGTAGAAATAAACAGTGAGTCCGCCAGCCGCCCGTATGGTGTGCTAAACTCGTTGCAGATTTTTCACTGCGGCCTGCACGGGTAGGTAAAGGTGCGACCGCCGGCGGACCGCATGACCTGTTGTACTGAAAAAATATATATAAAGGTCAGTGTTAAAAAAAATTAAAAAAATCGAGAAAATCTACATAGTGTGACGGTCTTTTAACTCCTGTTGCTACAAATTTTAATTCTTTTTTTTAATTTTTCTTTTTATTGTGTAATCCTGAACAATGCTTCTGTAAATAATGCTTCTGCTTAATATTTACATCGAACTGCTCCAGTTCAGAAGGAAATGTAATTTTTTTCCAACCATGTATTTAAAATTAATACTTTGCCCAGTTTTAAGTGAGTGTACTGAAAAAAAAATAGTACTACTCGAAATTGGCAAGTAACTTTAAAAAATGGCGCATCTAATAAGGATGCCAAAATAATATAACACTTGCAAGACTATTTGTTATATTATGGAAAATAAATGTTTAAAGAAACCCAGTTGTAAATTAATTTTCCTTACCCATCTAAAATGATTTTTGTGAACCTACCCCAAGGCTTTCCTCAAGACCGTTACTTAAGATTCTAGTTTGAGTGAAATGGAGGGAATCAGTTGACGAAGTGTGAGCAAGACAGATAGTGGCGCTACTTTTTCACTGTCGCACACAAAATAAAGTTCAGCACATTACGCTCCCTCGTTTATTGCGCATCTTTCTCTATTCGTTCGTGTTGATTTCGTACTGTCCACATTTGGCTTCGTTTATTGGACTCGATTGATTTGGATTTGGCCTGTTTAGTTGCTCTTTAAGACGACCTAGTCTTAGTGCGACCATGTCTGCGTACACCACACAAGAATATGCTAACATGCACCTCGTTTATGTGTCAGTAAGAGAGTAGCACAAAGGTAGTTCAAGTGTTTTCAATTGTAATTTTAATTTGATGTCAAAAGATGCGGCTCGCTCTGGTCGCATTCATACGGA